TGCAGCCTTGCCTGACCCCTTTGCCAATTGGGATCCATTCGGTTTCTCCGTTTTCTGTCCTGAGAGTAGCCTCTTGTCCTGAGTTCAGATTCCTCCTCATCAGGACTCTCAGATGTGTTGGAACTCCCATCATGTCTTTAAGGGCATTCCATAGCCTTTCATGGTCTATGCAGTCAAAGGCTTTGCTATAGTCTATAAAGCACATGCTGGTTTTCTTTTGGAAATCCCTAGTATGCTCCATTAGCCATCATATATTTGTAATATGGTCGCTCATGCCTATTATTATTATTATTATTATTATTATTATTATTATTATTATTATTATTATTTACATAGTGCCCCTGGAGAGTCTTTGCAAACTGCATAGCAAATGAAGTCTTATGGGTTTTAGAAAGCTGCTAGTCTCCTGGTTGGGCTGGAGATTTGAACCCAGCTCTTTCCCCTTGCCCAGAAGTGAGGGCCACCCCCACCACCCCCAAAGTTGGAGAATAGGCACCCTCATCCCCACTTGAAGATGACCCATGAAAACTGGAGATATGGGGTGAGGAGCTGAGATCTAGGTGAAATTTATGGGACCCTGATGCCCATAGATCTGGGATGGGAATTATATGACTCTCCCTGGAGATATTGGAGATCAACTCCTGGCACAGTTAAGGATGCTGTGAGTTGCAGTCCAGCAACTTCTGGAGGGTGACAGGATTCCCCCTCCGGCTAAGGAGCAGATGTGAAGGGCTGGTGGTGATAGGCAGCCGGGGAAAATAAATGTCCTGCTGTTCCGATGAATGGTTTGACTGGACGTTTACTCCAGTGGTCATCCAAAGGACTATTTCTCCAGCCACCCCAAAACTGTGGAATGACCTGCTGGACGAGCGCTGAATACAGCTGTGTGGATTTAAAAAGAGCATTGAAGACCAATCTCTTCCAGCAGCAGGCAGGCTTATTTATCCAAATGATTTTTAAATTACGAATTTTAAATGATGGATTTTAGATGGGGGTCGTTTTAATATGAGTACATCTTGTTTGTCCTTTTAAATTGATGTATGTTTTAGCTGATGTTTTAATAAGTGTTGTTGTTTATCAGTCCACCTTGACCCATGGGGAGAAGTGGATAAGAAATTTATTATTGTTGTTGTTGTTATTTGAATTGCTCTGTGCTTTTATTATACTGTGCAAGCAAATTGCTTCAGTCCTGACAACATCGCCATGCTGCAAACTGCTTTGGCTTCTGATTAAAGCTTGCTCTTTTGCACTGAGGCCAAAGACACCTGGACCCTTGACCCCCTAAAAAGGGGTCCCTTGGGGGTCCCAGCATCAAGTGGGGAGCCCAGATGGGGGCCTGCCATGGGTCCATGCAGACCTCTCTGTCCTAACCCGCTGTTTGCTCTGCTTCCCTTCCAGGCCCCGGGTGCAAAGGGCACAGCCTCCTTTTGGCCCTCCTTTGCAGCTCCATCTGCTTCCAAGGAACAGGTAAGGCAAATTGGGGTGGGGGCTGGGGATGCGAGAGAGGAGGGAACCCCCCCCCAAAAAAACCCAACCCTGACTGTCCCCAAAATAGGTCCCTCTGCTTAGGCATCTTCTTTGCTTTTTATCTCTGCATTTTGCACTTTTTTAAATGTTATATGCAGAGCATGGCAATGTTACTTTTTGGATTACAACTCCCAGAATCCTCTAGCCAACATAGCTGTGCTGTCTGGGGGCCTCTGGGAATTGTAGTTCAAAGTAAGGCTGCAGATGCACTGCGGAAATAATCCAGTTTTACACCACTTTAACTGCCTTGGCTCAATGCTGTGGAATCCTGGGACTAATAATAATAATAATAATAATAATAATAATAATAATAATAATAATAATAATAATACCCTGCCCCTCTCCTAGGCAATCGGGGCGGCGTACAATTCAAAGCATCTTGTAGTTTGTGGTGGCGACAGAGCTCTCTGACAAGGCAGGCTAAAACTACAATTCCCAGAATTCCATAGCATGGAGCCATGGTGGTTCAAGCAATATCAAACTGGATTATTTCTGCAGAGCCTAAAGGCCTTTGCAGACTGCCAGAAATAGTGCACATTAAATTGAGGCACTGCCCTGGCTCAGTGCTAGGGAGTCATGGGAATTGGTTTTTTTCTGAGACATTGAGCCTTCTCTGTCAGAGAGCTCTGGTGCCACAATAAATTACAGTTCCCATGATTCCCTAGCAGTGAGCCAGGGCAGTGCCTCAATTTAATGTGCACTATTTCTGGCAGTCTGCTTAGGCCCTAAGTCAGCTCACAGAAAGACTGTAATTTTTATTGCTGTATATTCCTTTGATCATTGCTTCTTTAGATAATTCTTCCTGATATGTGAAGTCGTAGGCTTTCATGGCCGGCATCCATAGTTTTTTTTGTGGGTTTTTTGGGCTGTGTGGCCATGTTCTAGAAGAGTTTCTTTCTGACGTTTCGCCAGCATCTGTGGCTGGCATCTTCAGAGAATGCTGGCATGGAAGAGAGTGGGTCTATATATACTGTGAGACCCTGGGTAGGGAGGAGTGGTTCCCATGTAAACTGTGTATTGTTCTGTGTTGAATAGGTATTGTTCTGTGTTAATGGCATCGCTTCAGGATATGCAATCCAGGATATTGTCTGCTGTTCCCATGTAAACTGTGTATTGTTCTGTGTTGAATAGGTGTTGTAATGTTGTTAATGGCATGGCTTCCAGGTGAGGATATGCAATCTTCCTGATATCCTTGTAAGATCTCTTTGAAATTTATTTATATTTTTATTATTTTATTTCTTTTGCTGGATTTATATCCCAAAATGGGACTCAGGGAGGCCAAATCATCCTCTCTTTATTGCAATGCCTTTCCTTGCAATTGGAATAGACATATTTGAGACAAATCCACGCTGCAGAATTAAAGCAGTCTGACACCAGTTTCACCGCTATCACTCTTTATCTGACAAAATCCTGGGATTTGTAATTTGGTGAGGCATTCAGTCTGGTCTGTTAGAAAGCCCTGCTGCCTCACCAAACTAGAAGTCCCAGGATTCTGGAGGATGGAGCTATGTGGCAGTTAAAGTGGTCTCAAACTGTTTTAATTCTGCAGTGTGAATATATACCCTCAGGTAAGTTTGATTGTATAGATCACGAAAAACTATGGAACTGGGTTTTCTTAGGCAAGGTTTTACCAATTCCTTCCTCTCGAATAGAGCCTGCAGCATCTGGTATTCATTGGCTGACTCCCATCCAAGGAGTCTGCTTAGCTTCCAGGATCAGTGCCTTGTTTTGGGTTTTAGGCATAGGTGTACTGTTTGTTGTTGTGTGCCTTCAAGTCATTTCCAGCTTATGGCAACCCTAAGGAGATACAAAAAATTGCAGCAACTATAGGACAATAGCCCTAATCTCCCATGCAAGCAAAATAATGCTCAAAATTCTGCAGCACAGACTCCAACCATCCATGAAGAGAGAGATCCCAGAGGTCCAAGCAGAGTTCAGGAAAGGAAAGGAAGGGCCACTAGGGACCACATTGCAAACATAATATGGCTAATGGAACTCACCAAAGAATTCCAAAAAAGAAAACCAGCATGTGCTTTATAGACTATAGCAAAGCCTTTGACTGCATAGATCATGAAAGGCTATGGAATGCCCTTAAAGACATGATGGGAGTGCCAACACATCTGAAAGTCCTGATGAGGAATCCGTACCAAGGACAAAGGAGGCCTCCATTGGAAGAGAATTTGGGGGGAAAGAGAGGTTTCCAATAGGGAAAGGGGCCAGGCAAGGCTGCATCCTATCACCCTATTTGTTTCACTTCTATGCTGAAACCATCATAAGAAAAGCAGAATTGGAAGCAGAAAAAGGAGGAGTGAAGATAGGAGGAAGCAACATTAACAACCTAAGATCTCTTCCAACTCTATGATTCTATGTGTGGTCTCTTCCAACTCTATGATTCTATGTGCGGATGACACCATAATATTAACAAAAGACATTCAGGAATTGGAACAGTTTTTAATAAGGAAGGTCAAAGACGAAAGTGCAAAGGCAGGTCTGATGCTG